TATTAGAAATATCAAAAGAATGGCATAACCTTTACGCATAGTATTATAATGAGGAAGAGAGCATTATTGGCTAAGATTTAAGGCTTATATTATGCAATATTCTTAATCCCCATTTGTCAATTATGATATAAATTTTTTTAGCCAACAAAAATTATTAAGTATGCTAGTTGAAAGTAAAAATATATGTCCTAAAACATCATCACCAATGAATGAGTTTAAGCTTTTTAGTGACAATATAGAAAGCTTTGGTAAACTAATATTATTAACGATGGTCAAAGAAATACAATTTGGTAAGTGAATCAATGATTTTAATATATATTTCTTCTTTCATGCATATTAATCACCTATTAACTAACTAGTACTTAACTATTTGTACTTTATAGATGAATGTTGGAAGATGTTTGAATTAAGTGCATCAAATTTACAGAAATTAAATGTTATGATTCTTAGCCAAACATCTTCATCTTATTGATGTGAAAAAAATTGAAGTGTATTTGAGCAAATTCATACCAAGAGACGTAATATTTAGAGCATTAAATGCTCAATGATCTTGTGTTTGTTTGATACAACCTCAAATTGTGGCATATGTATGACTGCCTGATTTTAACTATATTTAAATATTTTTGTTTAGAATGATGCATAATTTTTTAATAATGATTTAGATTAATTTTATAAATTCTAGACTAAAAAAAAGAAAGAAATTATGATCATTTGAATTATACAAGTATAAAGATGGTAAACTTTTGGGTTCTTGATGAAGAACTACTTTCAGAGCTTATTTTGGAGAATTTAGAAACTGAAATTTTGGTAAAATATGTCACTCATATTGTTAAAGAAGTAAATATTAGTTGTACTAAATAACCTTAAAGTAAGTTCTCAATTGGATTAAGTTATATCATTTGAAAGTGATGTTCAATATGAATATAATATTTTATATTTCTATTATGCAATAATGATGTTTTAGATAATATTGGAGAAGACCATTAAAATACTTGGAAGTGACAATATTGATGCTTTTAGAGGGAATGGTTTTGATTTAGGATGATTTAGAGATTTGACTTTTGATGCTTCAAATTTAGGAGATGACTTATAAATTTATTTGTATATTTATTTTTGAAATTTGAATTGATATGAAATTGTGAGTAGTTAATTGAGAACTACTCATATATAATATATTTCTTTTATTTTAAAAAATAGCTCTTTTAATTATTTGCGTATATTTTTTCATTCATAAAATAGTGTTCTATATAATGTTTTAAGCACCGACGACGAAGGAGGAGGTGCAGCGAGCCAGCGACGATTAAGAACTCGAGGAGTTGCTGCGTCGATTAACCGGGTTAGCCAGTTCGTCAATGATACAAGCACCCGGCCGGCCGGCCGGTTCGGTTGTCTGGCGAAACTGGGAAATCATCGGACCGGATTTGAACCGGTCCGACCGGCGGTTGGACCGCGTACTCGGCGAACCGGAACCAGGATTTAACCGCCCGTCGCTGATTTCCACCGTCTGATTGAATCATACGGTATTTGTTAAAACAGTAAAACATGTGAAGTAAACCTAAATTCATTTTCTACTCCCGTAACTCCCGAAGCCGCCCGTCGCCCGTCTCCGATTTTTTCCTTCGTCTGATCGCTGCATTTCCTCCTTCATCCGTTCGTCGCTTGTCGCCGGTCGCTGCAGCTCCTCCTTCGCCGTTCGTCGTTGCAGCTCCTTCGTCCGTGCTTGTATCATTGACGAACTGGCTAACCCGGTTAATCGACGCAGCAACTCCTCAAGTTCTTAATCGTCGCTGGCTCGCTGCACCTCCTCCTTCGTCGTCGGTGCTTAAAACATTGTAAGGTGAGGAGATTGTATACGCTGAACTTGTGTCTTACTCTTACCTGTACAAACTGAGAAGTGAAAACCGAAAATTGTATACGAGTTCTTAATAGTCGCTGGCTTGTGAAGTTGTAGATGATTTTAATGTTTGGAATACCATGAATCAAGATTTTATTGTCACCAGCATTTGTATTTCAAACGCCCCGGTTAATGCTTGATTTCAATTAGGTATGCTAGGAGTTTTGGAATACCATGAATCAGGATTTTAAATTTACCAAAAACCAATTAATTTGAAGTTGGTTTCAGCCAGCTTTAAAGCAAGATCAGGTTATTTCCTTAGATGCCACAATTTGGATAGATTTTTCAAAATACTAGAATTCTGAACGTAAGAACTTTGAACTTAAATAATTGGTTTTAACAAGCTGATATTTAGTTGATAATGCTTGAAATCTCCTCTTATTTTTTGTTAATAATAGTTGAATTTGAATCCAACTAGCACCCAGGCATTAAGTATACACTATTAGAAGATTTAGCATGTGACAGCTTAGTTTAGTTCTATTTTATGAAGTGTGTATTTAATGAGGAACATCGATTCACAATATGATATGGCACAAAGTATTAAAAAAATAGCTTGTTATGTGTGAAGCTCTCATTGTAGTTTCTTGGAGTGCACGAGTACACTAGATGAAGAGAAGAATTATTTGAATTATGTTTGTATTTCATTGTGGACCTTACACTCTTATTTATATAGAAGAATTCTAGATTATACAAGATAATTTCTGCATATGTAGCTGCCAGTTACATGGTGATTATATCATTATATGGCCATATTCCTAGGATAGAAATATACAATATGGAAGTATTTAACCATATTTCCTTATCCACGTTTATGAAAATGAAGGAAGATGTTCTTCATCTTGCAAGCATTTACTTCACCTAAATCCTAAGATGGATTTCCTCCCAGGTCTATGAATGGTTGTCATTTTCTATGTGTTTAGTTTGATAATATATTGTTGTTTAATATTAACAACATAGAGTTCACTTTTTCAGGCTAATATTGATCCAATGTTATTTAATATTACCAATGGCTCAAAGCGTTCGTGAGAAAGTAGATATCGCTTGGAGCCATTTTGCTGAGTGTAAAACCACTGACGGTAAGAAGCAATATAAATGTATTCATTGTGGAATAATTTATAAGGGAGGAGGCATTCATAGGATGAAGCAACATCTAGCGGGGATTAAAGGGAACATTGCTTCTTGTAAGAAGGTGCCACATGACATACGATATCAGATGCAACAAAATTTGAATGAGATATCAAAGAAAAAACAACAAGCACAACAAGACTTGTCGCAGATTGATGATTTACTTGGTGAAGATCCAGTTGAAGAAGAGAGGGGCTCATGTTCAGTCACGAAATCACAAAGTTCAGATATACATGGTAAAGGATTGGATAAAGGAAAAAAGAAAAATTGAAAATATTAAGTGATGCTAGGTTTAATTGAGCTAGTTGAAAGTAAAAATATGTCCTAAAACATCATCACCAATGAATGAGTTTAAGCTTTTTAGTGACAATTTAGAAAGCTTTGGTAAACTAATATCATTAACGATGGTCAAAGAAATAAAATTTGGTAAGTGAATCAATGATTTTAATATATATTTCTTCTTTCATGCATATTAATCACCTATTAACTAACTAGTACTTAACTATTTGTACTTTATAGATGAATGTTGGAAGATGTTTGAATTAAGTGCATCAAATTTACAGAAATTAAATGTTATGATTCTTAGCCAAACATCTTCATCTTATTGATGTGAAAAAAATTGAAGTGTATTTGAGCAAATTCATACCAAGAGACGTAATATTTAGAGCATTAAATGCTCAATGATCTTGTGTTTGTTTGATACAACCTCAAATTGTGGCATATGTATGACTGCCTGATTTTAATTATATTTAAATATTTTTGTTTAGAATGATGCATAATTTTTTAATAATGATTCAGATTAATTTTATAAATTCTAGACTAAAAAAAAAGAAAGAAATTATGATCATTTGAATTATACAAGTATAAAGATGGTAAACTTTTGGGTTCTTGATGAAGAACTACTTTCAGAGCTTATTTTGGAGAATTTAGAAACTGAAATTTTGGATGTAAACTGATATAAACTGATTACTTTTTTGTCTCTATGGTATTAAGTTAAAACTTTTTATATTTATGAATTTTGAGTTTGTCTTATCAATAAAGTGTTATAATTTTGCTAAAAGTTATGAAGAGGTATGTTATATGTTGCCAATTTAATATTTTTTAATGTCTATTTTGTTATATATTTTACTTCGTTTTCTTTTACTCATTTCATTTTGTAATAATTTCATATGATAGAGAAGGAGAATTGAAGATGGTTGCATTCATCAACTTCCAACACACAAAGAGCTCAACAAAAGGTATGTTATTTACTTACAAATTTAGGAGATGACTTATAGATTTATTTGTATATTTATTTTTGAAATTTGAATTGATATGAAATTATGAGTAGTTAATTGAGAACTACTCATATATAATATATTTCTTTTATTTTTAAAAAATAGCTCTTTTAATTATTTGCGTATATTTTTTCATTCATAAACTAGTGTTCTATATCATTTTTTATCACACAATTTATAATGATAATATCATTATTATGGTAATTTTATTTATTTTTAAAATAAAATTATTATTTATTATATTATCCAGTTTAACCTTGTTTCAATCAGAACCTCTCCTTCTTTTGATTCACAACCTTACTTAAAACTATTAATAACTTTATTAAAATAATTAATTTATGATCCGCAAAAAAAAAAAAAAAATGAGCCCACCAAACTAAGTCTATTTTAAACCGTTTCGTTTCACAAAACAAATGACGGTGCATCCGGGAATACCGCAACCTGAATCTGATGAATCCGCCAGGATATGCGATATATTTATCCATGCCCATAGGTGTCTCGCGGCCCAGCGTACCGCGTAATAAAAATCTCGTATCCGTTTTCCCGAATTATCCCGCAGCCGATAAGGCCCTTCCCTCGATAAATTCGTTTTGGTTTTCCTGGCTTCGTCTCATACAGCGTCGGTTAATATCAACAGACATTGAGGGTATTTTCGTACATTTGTTCCGTATATAATCGCCGCTCCTTCCCTTCCATGTCGCTCACATATTTTTCTGGGACGCAAGAGGAAAGCCCGAATCACAATAGCGTTACACTTTTTGTTATCCGTTTCGCGAACAGTCGCTCTAACAATTCTTCACCGTCCTGTATATCCGTCCGCAGCTGCTTAGGGCTTTCTTGGAAGTGGTAGATTTGAGAAGGATTTTGGATTGAAGGAAGATCGATGGGCTACGACGCGATGGCGAACGAAGCTTCCGTGCCGGCGGCCATCTCGAGGGATTTCGGGAAGAAGAAGAAGGTAAGCTGGAATTGATCAGCATTTTGGCTATTGTTGGATTTACGGTCGTTCGGCTTCTGGAGATCTTGATTTTCTTTTCTGTATTGGTTTTTCCAATTAGGTTTATGTGCGAATTTACGATTTGTTTATTTTGGCTTTTAATTTTAGGTGAACAGGTCAGCTAAACTGAAACAGTGCAAGCTCGATGCTCGGAGGGAACAGTGGCTGTCGCAAGGTAATTTTTCATACGCATAATTATTGCTAATGACGTTGACTTGCGCTTTTGATCTTAGCTTTTATACTGTTTCAATTTCGTTTCTTGTGGTTGATCTGTTGTTTGAATTATGATGATGGCAGTGAAGAATAAGGGCTGTATGGACGGGAGCACGGGGACTATGACAACGTCGCCTTCTCACCCAAAGATAAGTCTTCCTAGTCCCGGTCAGGGTGTGCTGGGTAGTAGGCCTAGGAAAATGTTGCCTCGCGTTGAGATGGAGCCGGAAGGTATGGGGCTTCAGGACAGCGGTTTGGATTCACCTGTTCAAAGCCCCACTCCGAGTGGAAATATGCAGAGAAAAGATTGCTCGAGCACCAGCGGCAGTAGTGGGAGCAGTGTAGGGTCATGCTCTAGAAGCGTAAGTGATGCAGAAGAGGACAGACAGGAAGAGGAGAAGGGAGAGGATAAAGGTGGACTTGATGACTGGGAGGCCGTTGCTGATGCACTCTCTGCTGTTGGTAATCATACTCGGACTAATTCCGATTCTTTGAAGACGGTTGTAGATTCGAGGATGTATCGAATTCACCATAGTGATACTAGGCTGGTTGTTGGGGCCACGAGGCCAGATGCCAACCGGACAATCCCCAGAGCCTGGAAACCGGATGACGCTGCACGCCCGCAGTGCTTGCCCAATCTCTCAAAACAGCTTAGCTTCCCTGTGAATATCGAACGCCATTTTGCTACCTCTGGGTGGCACCGTCAGGCCATAATTTCAGCTCCCTCTTCATGCCCCATCTGTGTGGAGGATTTTGACCTCACAGATTCAAGCTTTCTTCCCTGTTCTTGTGGTTTCCGTATCTGCCTTTTCTGTCACAAGAAGATCCTAGAAGAGGGTGATGGGAGATGCCCTGGATGCAGGAAGAAGTATGATAGGGTGGCATGTATGGAGAATAGCGTTACTGGCACAGGGCTGTCATTGCCTCGTCGGATCACTCGTTCCTGTAGCATGAATTCAAGGTCTTAGAAAAGAGGAAGGTCTTGTTATATATCTTCCCTTGTTTTTGACATGCATGCAGCGTACGCTAGTGGTTTATCATGCTTTCCAGACATTTTGCATGTTGTGTTTTCTGAATTAAAGGAATGTGAATATGGCATAGGATGTGGAACGCTTTTGACAGTTTCGGAATTTTATAGAACCTTTCTATGCATTAGATTCTTGCAATGTGTCAATGGAATAGGCAATACCTGATGTGAATAGATATGTGGCTGTGAACTTTATACGTTGAGATCTATTATATGGTAGTTAATATTGGATACTGTTTTTTATGTTGTGTATTTAACTGTCAGTTTTGTAAATGTAACAAGATTGATTTAATAATTCATACCACTTGCATTTAAATTTTTAAACCATTTTAACACATTGTCCGTTGGTGTCTACTAAAGATTGCAACCAAATGATGATGGCCTTATGGGTAGTTGTACTAAACTTATGCGGTATGGTTATTTTGTTTTAAGAAAATGGTATATGGTGACTGTCTATTTTATTTGATGTGATTATGGAAAAGTAGTGATGGGAAGTTGCACTGGCCTTGTGCTCCCGCTTGGCTAATTTACTCCAAAATTTCATCGCCTATATATTTTTCTCATTAAGATTTTATCTTGGTTAGCATCTAGGTACACGGTGAAATATTTATGCTTTCTTTTATATTTAGCAGGGTAGGAGATGTATATTTCTTGATATGGAACATCCTGAATTTTTTTTAAAAGTTTATTATTTTCTTCCTGACATTTTCTGTGCTATTCTCTGCAACATTATGCTCATCTTGTGGTACCCGATCAAGACATGTGGGATGAGCAACTGGATTAGATTTTCATGTTGTTGTAGTAAACTTTTTTTTTTTCCCTACTGAGTTTTAACACTTATCTGAAGCTTTATCTGATCAGTTTTTGACATGAAGATTCTGCAATTTTGTTGGTATTAAAAATTGCTTATTTAATATTGTGTATTTTACTATTATTGGATGTACTTATAGATGTAGCTCATGTATGAACATTGGAAAACTTGTCTTTTAAGTAGTAGTGTATGCTTTCAAAGGTGGGCTATGAGGCCTTCAAGTTAATCCGATTGTTGTGCATATTAAGCCAGGGTTAACTAGGTCTAAATGTAAGATAAGATTTGTCATATGAAATTTGGTAAGACAGGATAATTTATAGACATTATATTATAAGAAGAAGACTAAATATTGCTTGTTTATAATGAGGTGAATGGAAAGAAGAAAAATTTAAGGATGTTGTAGATGGTTATAAGTAATTTTATGTTGGAAAGGTTAACAATAGGGTTGAGCTTTGGCTAATAGTAGATAAAGAGTTGAAAGTTAAAATTGTTGAGTTTAATAAGGTTATGATAGAGTGATTGATATTAATATTATTATTGGTGAGAAAATTATGAAAGTGGCCAATGTTGATGTTGTTGAAGTTGGATTAGAATATAGTTTAAAAAGTAATTTTTTGAGAAGATTGGATTAATTGCTACTATGTATAGATACATGCAAAAGAAAGAACAATTATAAAAGGTGATTTAAATGGGATTATTGCTCTACTTTTAATATTTTCTGAGAGGACTTATGGTGGTTGTGGAATAGTTCATGGTGATTCACTTATTTAAAGCAATGATGTGACATCCATTTCAATACTGACGGTGATCTAAATTTGTTTATTTATTTATATTTAAAGTGATGTGCCTTAATACATGCTTTTATAGATGATATATTTCGAATTGGTGTGCATCCACTAAAATAAGTGAAATTAGAACAATGAAGAAAATGTTAATAGATAGTTCAAACTAGTAGAGCAAAGATTGAGTATATGATATGTAATTTTATTGGGTAGGATATTAACAATTATCATTCAATTTATTAGAAGATAAGGGTATACCTCGTCACCTAGGTGTGATATATTGAAGTATCGTAGATCTATTATACAAAAAAAAAAAAGGAGATACAAATGATGATATAACTTCTACAGTTAAGGTATGATTACAATTATAGAAGTTCTATCAAAATTTTGTGTGATAAAATGATATCATGGAGGCCTAAAGATAAATTTTGATAAAATTGTAATTAGTCTCGCAATGTTGTATGGATCTGAATGTTAGGTTTTAAAAAAGTCATTGATCTGTAAGTTGAGTATATGGCATAAATGACTAATAAGATGATGTGTGATAAAACCAGGAATGATAAATTGACTAATGATTATATTGGAGGAAATGTTGAAATGATTTCTATTGAAGATAAGGTGACTATAAATATACTTGAGTGGTTTAGACATATACAACAAAGGGTAGAAAATGCAATTAGATGACTTAATAAAAGTTATGTCAAAGGATTAGGAAGAAAAATGGTATTCCTAAGGTTACATAGATAAGTTTTTCAAAAGGGTCTTGAATTGGTTTAACATCTTAGACACTTAATATTAATGAATGAAAAATGTCACACCAACCCAAATAGTTGATGATGTATTATTGCTAACGTCTTTTAATGTATTATGGGTAGCTTTTTTTCATGTGTCTGTTTAGCTTGCTGTGACACATTGTTTTTAAATTCATAATCGGCAATCGTGGACCATGCTTGATTGTTCTCACCACAAATAAATCACTATTCCAAGCGAAGCATTGTATTGAAACACCATTAATTGTACGCTTTAAACAAACTGGTTGTATGCATGGTATAATGTACTTCATGTGGGCTTTGTTTGACAATGTTGATATGTTATGCTTTTTTATATGAAATAAAATTAGTGTTGCCCCACAAAAAAATGAATAAGCTGCCATTTAAGTATGTATCAAATTATTGTGAAGCCACTGGTGACATGTTCATGTAGCATATAGTTTTCAATATCATTTCCTGTACAAATCAGAGTTGTGGTTGGTTAGTTATTGATGATTATAGCAGTTGAAATTCAATTGCAATTAAGGCCTGGCTTTGCCTATTGAAGCCCTAGTTTCGTTATTAGCAGTCATCTTGTAAAAGGATAATTGGGGCCATCCATAGATGAAGCTATATATTCCTTCGTTAACTTTTTGTATTGTGAATCTTTGATACAAGCTCTTTAATGAATGATTCTATTAATGCAAAAGCTTATAATAGTTTTTAGAATCAACAAAAAAATTTCTCTCTATATTTAACGCCTTCTGCTTCAATAGTCAATGTTTGTAGTTGATGGAGTAAGAGATGACAATTTTCAAGCTGTTAGCCTCTAGTCTTCGGTTATATCAATTTAGTTACTATTAGATAAGGTGTCATGTTATGTCGTATGTTTTTTTTTTTTATTATCAATTTTGAGCTACATATTTATAGAAAACAAAGAACTTATCGTGTTGAAAGCTACCAAAAATTTTACCTGGGCTTTAATGTTAAACCCCATATATGGTTGCTGTGGGGGCTCCATTTTTCTCTTTACATGAGTTGGACTTCGGGAACAATTATTACGTCCTCTGACCTGACGTAGAGCTACGTTCGACCGCCAATAACATGTCGCCACGTGCTCTTACTCTAAACCGCGCGGCCCGACGACTTGACCCGGAGCGGAACCCGGAAATGCTATGTTCGCGATTTTCTCGGTATCTCGGTATTTGCTAGGTATTGCTTTGTAAAAATGAGAAATACCGCTCTGTGAAGACCAATACCATGCAAATACCGAGTTGTACCGAGTTTTTTACAACTCGGTACAACTTGGTATTTGCTCAGGATTTGCTCGGTATTGCTAGAGATTTGCTCGGTATT